GGCCCCATTAGGTGGGGCAAAGAGCAGAGAGATCGACTGTGACCACGGCCCTCGTGGGGTGGAGCCCCTTGCCGAGCGCTTGTGCGGCACGGCGAGAGGAACGCCACGCTTGCCCAGCTCGCCTAGACGAAAGTCGGCCATGTCCTCCTACAGGCGGACTTTGGAGGAATCACCCGAAATAGTCTAGAAATGTTCAAAAATCATCACCGCCAACCTTTTATCCACCAAAAATGGTGGCCATACTATTTTTCCGTTTTTTTTGGGGGGGGGACTCCTCCTGTAAAGGGACACACACGCCCTGCTCGACCCTGGGCGCGCCCCCCGAGGCGGCGGCACCACAGGCCGGGCCCCGGCCTCGGAGCGGCTCCCGTCACCAGGGCCGGCGGAGGGCGGAGAGAGAACCCCGAAGCGGTGCGGTGACAGGCCGCGCGGCGGCCTCGAAGTCCCCCACAGACTTAGGTCGGGCCTGTCCCCCTAAGGGGGATTTTCGACGAAGCATAAAAAATACCCTAAAAATAATCGAAAAATATTCAAAAAAATAGTCCAGGGACTATCTTTGTTTGTATTTTTGGACCTTTTTGGAGCATTTTTGGTGTATTTCGCCAGCGGCACGTGCGCGGCCCAGCGGGCGGGCCAGGGACAGAATGAGATAAGAAGGGGCGCCATGAAATCTGGGGAAATATCATGGCCCACGCCATGATATCCACCCCCCCTAGTCAGCACCCCTCTCTTTGCCGCCCCCGAGTACGACGTGTAGTCGAGAATAGTTGTTTCACGGTCCCGAGGCCCGGTCAAGGCCCCCGGAACCCGAAAATACATACAAACCTCCTGTCACCACGCTGCAACAAACCAATCCGCGAAGGTCGGCGCGCGACTCTCACCGCATCTCCGGGGGGGAGAGCAGAATAGCAATGGTTCTGCACTGCTGTGGAGGGGGGGGGGATGAAGCGAAAGGGAGGCAGGGAGGGAGGCCCCCCTAGTCATCACCCCCCTCTTTTCCGCCCCCGAGAGAGAGGGGGGGGGAGGCTCGGCCCCGCCGCGGCTCCGGGAGCCGGGCCCGCCCGGGGGGGGGGCAGCAGCGGGCCCCCGCAGGCCTCGGGTCGGGCACGTCCTCCTGCAGGCGGATTTCGGACGCGACGGTAACAGCAAGTGCTCGAAACAGATTCACACATGATCCAAAAATACCCACCACACAAAAAACAAAAAACAAAAAAAACAAAAAACAAAAAAAAAAAAAAAAAAAAAAAAAAAAAAAAAAAAAAAAAAAAAAAAAAAAAAAAAACGCCCATCGAGTTTGACTATTTTTGCATATTCCTCCTGTAGAGGGACACGCCCGACTTAACGCAAACCTTGCCGTGGAGGCCAGTCCACAAGAAACCTTCCACTGGAAGCCCAACCCTGGGACCCCAGGGCGTCCACTGACTTGCGGAGTGGTAACGTCGCGCTTTCCGTCGCAAGACCATCGACACCCAAGAAACCCGGGGCAGCCTGGATGCAAGCAGGGTGCTCCTTGGCACGGGCCTCCACTGCACGTGGCTCCCAGATCTGGGCCAGCCAGAGGGGCTACCAGCTGACCCCCCGTAAGCCTCAAGCGCTACACCCCGTTCGGCGGTGGCCAAACCTCCCTTTAGTAGACCTCCCCTTTGTGACAACAGCCTCAGACCGAAACCCACGGGCCGGGACCCGCAGAAACGACGGCCGCGACGCCCTCTCGCGAACCGAACACGGCCAATCCCCTAATCGACGTGTCAGCGTAGGAGGCCTATCAACCTCCGACCCGTTAGCGCCGATCCCCGGCCTTGCCCTCGGCCCTCTGCTCCGGGGCGTCGAAGAGGCAGGGGGCCTGGAGGCCCAGCGGCCACCCCAGCGCGGCCTGCAGGCCGAGGGGAGCAGAGCGGAGGAGGGCTGCCTGCCAGACAGCCCCAACCCGACCCGAAGACCCGAATTTCGGGATTGGGGGGGTACACCCTGCGAAATGCTTAAGAAATCATGGGTTAAGAAATTCATAGTCTCAGAATTTGAATAAAACCCCAGAACTTCGATTAGAATCATAGGATTCACATTGAAACATTGAGAATAATCGAGACTCTGGCCGAAAACTTAAGTTTTCTTAAGCATCGCCTAGGGGGTAAGGGCTTCACATGTGTCTGTTCAGTGTTCCCTCGGGGATGGACAGACCTCCCTTCAGTAAGACGTGGTTTGGCGAAAACGACCAGAGGCCCAAACCCGGCGGGCGCAGGCCTGGGAAATGACGGCCGCGGCGCCCTCTCGAGAACCGAAAACGGACAATTCACTAGCCGACGTGTCACTGTTGGGGGTTCTGTCCACCCCCGATGCCCCAACCCCCCCCCCCACCCCACGCTGGGAGCGGAGGGCAAATCGCGGGCTTCGGGCTGGGCTGGGGGGCTGCTTGGTGGCTGGCGAGAGGAGGAGGAGGAGGAGGAGGAGGAGGAGGAGGAGAGGAGGAGGAGGAGGAGGAGGAGGAGGAGGAGGAGAAGGA